GCCCCCCCCCCCCCCCCCGGACCCAGATCTACACAGAAAGATATGCAAGGTAGAGTGATTAGGCTCTGGATACACCCAGGGATGGTATAAGCTGTGGCTCTTGACAGGACTGTTAAAAGGCACAGAACTATTCCATGGAGAGGGAAGGCCAAGGACTCCTTTGGCTAAGTGCCAAGAGTGCATCTGCAGATTCTCTGTAGGTAAGCAGTTCTTTAGACTACAAGTCAGCAAATGGTTTCTTGGGGCTCTGAAAGAGTTGTAATGAGATTTTAGGGACCAACTCATGATATATGACAAATTGCCAGTTATAAAAACAGTCATGGGCTTTTTTTTTTTTTTTCCTGGTAAGTGCATTGTCCACTGTTATAGAGAAGACAGGCAAGATGGGGGTGGGCTGCAGCTCTGGGAATGGAGGTGAAGGGGCACAGGGCTTCCCCCATCAGCAGAAGTGGGTGTGGGATCCAGATAACAGGATGAGCAGTTGGAAGAAAGCAAAATAAACATCTCAAAAGTCTTTCTCTAATATCCTTCACCACAAAAATCTTACTGACCTTGATTACAGTGTATTTCCCATGAGTCAATCTTCTCATCCCCAGTCATGGCTGAGGCCCAGGTCTCCCCTGAGCAACCAGGACAGAAGCCCTGCTTTTCTGTGCTATTCCCACTTCAGTTCACCCTGATCCATTCAGCGCCTCAGCCCAAATCCTTCAACTCATCCCAGACTCCTTTCAGACTCTCAACCCCATAGCCCTGTGGTCGGCAAACTGCGGCTCGCGAGCCACATGTGGCTCTTTGGCCCCTTGAGTGTGGCTCTTCCTAAGCCTTAGGAGTACCCTAATTAAGTTAATAACAATGTACCTACCTATATAGTTTAAGTTTAAAAAATTTGGCTCTCAAAAGAAATTTCAATCGTTGTACTGTTGATATTTGGCTCTGTTGACTAATGAGTTTGCTGACCACTGCATAGCCTGTCTGACAGAAACTTCTTTCAGCCCTACTTTCAAAATATATGGAAATTCTATTCATTCCTCCCCTTGTCCCACTGCTGTCCGCTCTGTCAGCTGCTAGCCAAATCTCTGAGAAACCTAAAATAGATAATGTCCTTAGCCTGCTTTAAAACAACAACAACAACAACAACAACAAAACAACAACAGTCATGGGGATATAAAGTACAGCATAGGGATTATAATCAATAATATTGTAACAATTATGTGATGTTAGATGGGTACTAGACATATTTGAGTGATGACTTTGTAAGTTACATAAATGTCTAATTACTATGTTACACACCTGGAACTAATATAATATTGTATGTAAACTGTAATTGAAAAATAAAAAGATGTATATGAAAATCAATTTGTACCCCTATAGACTTCAATATATAAAATAATGTTTATGTTTATAAAAATTTGATAAAATTATTTGGTTTTATATCAGGTCTCAGAAGTTTAGAACTTGTAGGCACCCTTAGAGGCTTGAAAGAGGCAATTTAGCTACAAGTGAAATAAAGTGAGAAGATAGTGGAGCCCTTGGTTTTTAAGATTCCACCAATGAAATCTTCTGATAACTTAAATAAATACTCATTTCCTCAAGGCTAGGAGCAGGCCAACAGAGTATAAGCTTAAGAAGAACGTTGTGGTTGTAGGAGGCACAGAGTAGGCAGCATAGGGTAGTGGAAAGATCATGAGTTGTCAAGTCAGGAAGACCTGGATTTGCAGCCCATCACTTCTATCTTCCAGGTGTTTATCATTGGACAAGTTGTGTGACATCTCTGAGCTGTAGTGTGCTCATCTTTACTCCCCTTTATGGCATTATTGAGGGGCTGAGGATGCTCAGAACCAAAGCTAATAGATGTTGGTCCTCTCCCTCTTCTCCATGTAGGTGTAAACTAAGCCCATCCTTATCAATGAGAAATAAAGAACATGGAAGATAATTGCAGGTCTCATGATCGATTCCTTGGTGCTCCTGGTAGACACAACATGGGGATGACTAGACCATTGTTCTAACACAATATTCTTATGAGGAATATTCATCTCTGACTATTTTCTGCTTCAAACTTACCTTACAGTTTTTCTCCCAGAAGGATGGAGGTAGTAGTTGCACAGGAAGATGAGTTTTCAGTGTCCTCGGGGAAGGCATTGCATTAGCCTGGTCAATTCCTGAAAAATTATACTGGCTTATTATTTACTTTTTAAAAAGTTGTTATTTCTTATGCAATTGATTGTGTCATTTTTTTCAAATATGACTTTTGGGTTTAATGTCATGTTTAGCCCTTCGTCACTCTTAGATGGTAAGAGCATTCTTCCCTGTTTTCTTTTAGTACTTAGTACATTGTGTTTCATTTTGTATGTTAAAATCTTTGATACATTGGCCTTTACTTGGTGTCTTATTTACTACTAGAGGCCCGGTGCATGAATTTGTGCATGGCAGTGGGGGGGTTGGGGGGAGGAGGGACCAAGGGAGATTGGCTGCTGGCCCTGAGGAGGGAGCCAGCCCTTGACCCCCAGGGGAAGGGGCCGCATCTGCCACCATCCACCCCCGGTTCCCCATCCCAGCCCGGGCCCAAAGGCCCTGGAGGGATCCGGAGAGGTGGCAATGGTTGCCAGGCTGGACGCAGAAGGAACAAACGCTGGATGCTGACACCACTGTCCTGAGCACCTCGTGGTTTCCTACCTCCCCCCCTTATTCCCTTACCACTGCACTGCCACCGTGGTGGTGAGCGGCTCCCAAGGAAGAGAGAGGATGGGAGCGAGACAAACTCTTGTGTCCAGGGCTGACTTTCAATAGATAGCAGTGAGGGAGCTGCTCTGCTATGTATGCAACCCCGACCCAGAAGCAAGTCTGTATGATGGTTTAGCACCAGGGGTTGATGAGGGCCGGCTGGCCGGGGGGAGGGGCTGCAGGAGGTTAGCTGTGGGAGCGCACTGACCACCAGGGGGCAGCTCCTACATTGAGTATCTGGTCCCTGGTGGTCAGTGTGTGTCATAGCGACTGGTCCTTCCGGTCATTCAATCATAATGGTTACTTAGGCATATATATATATATATATATATATATATATATATATAGAGAGAGAGAGAGAGAGAGAGAGAGAGAGAGAGAGAGTCCCCCTATCTGTTTCTCATCTCATTAACCTTCGCTAACTACAGCAGTATTGCTCAGCATTAGGGGTTGTTGATACAGATACAAATGAGGCCGGCACCGAGAACTGAACTTACAAGCTCCTGCTTGCTCTTACCTCCAGTGCCAGGCAAGGCTCTGGGGGA